CTCGGAGAGGCCGCAAAGGCGCAATCCGGTTTAGAGCCCCCGCCACTGCTGTATTCCAAGCAGTGACTAAGGACTCTACCAGACTGTGGACGAGAGCATCAGTCTATCCAAAACTAAAGTCCCATGCAGTAAAAACTGAAGAGAAGACTTGGTCATTTGATGTAATTATTTTGTCTTCAACATAGAATGCCCAAAATCAAACAAAATGCAATATATTATGTTTTCATAATTGAATTTTATTTAACTACTCTTCATTTAAAATAATTAAACTTTCTTTAGCAAGAAAGGATCTTGGAGCTGCTTACTTGTGAGCAATAAAAATGAAGCCTAAATATATGAAGAATGAAGATGGGAGTTAAAGCAGTAATTTGTAGATTAAATAATTATTTTAGGACTATTACAAAACACTTTAGGACACAAAAGTGTTTAGAACAACTGAGAATTCAACAAAACAGAGAGGGCCAGAAGCTCTCTCTCTCTGTTTTTGGCACCCTCTTGCCAGCCCTAGCGTTGCTGCATCTGCTGCTCTTTTTGCGGCCACCACTAAGAGAAGAGGCGTCATTGCTAGGGTTTGCAGGAGCGGCCTCTGTGAAGCCGTTCCACGTGGATGGCGGGTGCATGTGGGGTGCATGGAGCATGTCCCCCCTGCCTCCCAGGAAATGACAGGGACCGGCTGTGCATGTGTTTAAATATTTTTGCGGAGGGTTTATTTTCATGGGAGGGCTTATTTTAACACATGTGCTCAAAAGCCCATTGGGCTTATTATCTGGGGAGGGAAAACAGGATATCTCCTCCTCCTGGAACCCTCTGATATAAATAAATAGCACATTGTGCCCACTATTTTTTTAACCATCTAACATATATATTAGTTTTATTATTCATTTTCAGCGTGAGGCTACTAATTTATAGCATGGTCTCATGACAGCTTGGTAATAGAGTAGGTTTAAAAATGAACAATACCTTGAAAATATTTGAGGATTATATGATTTGTTTTACATTGTCACATGACTATACTGTTGCTATATTCAAACAGAAGTTATTGATCATTTTTATTTATATGAAATAATGGATAGAATTTGAGAACAGGATTTTGAAACTGTGTCTGATATGAAGAAAGATGGTATACATGGCTCTTACTGACTTTTCATCTCACATCTTGAAATGTTCATGGAAATTTAGAGTCCTCAATTTTTTTTTATTCTTGTCAAGATTGCGTGGCATGGTATTTTTGCCAAAGCAGCACTTCCTCATAGTTCCTCTCAATTTCATAATGCACAGCTATATTATGTTCTTTAAAGATGTGGGGGAGGGGTATTTTTACTCTCGAAAATCAAACAGAAATCAAATGTTTTTTCAAATATTTCCAGTAGTGTAAATTTTTCACATTGTCTTTACTATATATTAGCTGTAGAAGATATTTCTGAATATCCATTAAATAAATTTATTCATAGGTTCTAATACATTATATTAGACTTACATTACTATAGATAGTATACTGTATCAAGTTCTTTTGATTTGTCTGTTGCAGGGGACCCCAGAGGATCTGCTCTTCTTTTATGAACATCTTCGAAAAGGTGGAGAGGTGTTTCGAGTTGATGAGTGCCTCCTCCTGTATCGTTACCATGCACAGGCAGCCACTAACACAGTTTTAGAGTAAGTCATGTTTTGTATCAAATGTCTTGAAGTATTAGATAAGGGTTTATAGGTTTATCTCCTAACAATAGAGGCATTTCTTTGGATAATTTGCTTGCAAACTTACAATATTTTTTTAAACTTGTAAGTTGCCTGATGCTCAACAACTGTGGTCTCAAATTATTTTTGGGGATATGTTAGTTGAATTTTTACAACACATAACTTTTAACCCCAAAATTAGTTATTATGATCCAATCCTATAAACATTTCACCTGACTGGTTTCTGGCTTTAATCATTTTGGCTGTCTGTTTTATAAGTATTGGGAAACACCCAGCAGGCAGGGAGGAGGAATCAAGCAGTGAGTTAGCCTTGAATCATTGACCTCACCTAATCTCCATGAAACTGATTCTATTAGCTCCCAAGGGAAGACAAGCAGTCCAGGGAGATTCCTACATTATAGACAGAGTACAATAAAGTAGTTAGCTTGAACTCTCATGTGTGGATCCATTCTTTTTCATCTGACAGTGATCCATGTGATTCCAGACTAGAACTGTAGAATTGGTTAACTCACCACGAGACAACTTGCCACAGACAAGTCACAGTGGAACAACTCAATGCGAGATAATTGTACGTTAGATATTACTATATATTAATATTATTAAGATGACCATCTGCCTCTTCCATCTTTCTTAGTTTTATTAAAATCATTGAGATTTTATTATTATATTAATTTATTATTATATTAATATTAATATTACTAATAATATTAAGAGAGGAATGGGTCTAGAGTACAGTTATCTTGCATTGAGTTGTCCCTTAGTGAGTTGGCAGTGGCAAGTTGGTCATGGTAAGTTGTCCTAGACCTTTAGAACTGATTTTAAGATCTTTTTCTATTATATCAAGTAGACTCAATATCACGGGATATTGAGCTTTAAATCAATTGCACAACTTACTGGTATTTGTTCACAGAAGTTCAGAGACCATGCAGAGTTCTTTACAGAAATTGAAGCCTTAAAAGCCCATCTTTTTAGAGTTTATGGAGATTCTAAAAGTAATGTTCCAAATTTGATAAAAAATGGAGACATACTTTAAATGTTTCTGTCATTTGCTGAGATTCTTAATAAAAGGTTTTCTCCATCACACACTTGCATTTTGACAGAAAAATATGAGCCCATAAAGTTTTAGCCAGTGTTAAGTATAGGCTCATTAAATGTGAGCAATTTTATAATGAAAAATCCTTTTTGTACATAGAAACTATTGCATCAGTTGCATAGTAAATGTCTGTAAAAGTATTCAGTATATATAATTTGTTTAGTTTCAAAAGTTATGAGCAACACACTTGATATGAATTTTGCACATAAAAAAAGGGAAAAAAATGATTTTTTGCCCAATACCTGTTGTCGAGTATCAGTGATTTTTTTGTGGTTCTTTGTATCCATATGTTATTTACTGAGATAAGTTTGTAAAATGTAACAAACAATGTACTAGAAAGAGTTTGATCACCACTAGAAAGGAATATAGAGAGTGGAAAGCAAAAAATTTGACTTCCTATTACTACTTAAATGGCATCATATTGTTCAGTATGTGATATGATTGTTAGAATTTTTGCATCCTTTTCTAATGATATTTCAAGTATTTGGAAGACAGTTTATTTTTCTGTGGGAAAAATGTTTTATTGGAAATGGATTTGTTATGAATTAACAGCAAACCGTTAAGTCCATTTTACAAGACTGTATGGCACAGACCCCTGGATTACAGCATACTTGCAGAATGAGAAAATGACACAAAGCAATTTCAGATGGGTTCTGTACACACACAAATACGAAGCTTCCATTTATCTCTTTCTTTCTCCCCCTCTTTCCCTTATTCCCTCCCTTGCTTTTTGGTTCTGAAATGAATAACATATTTCAATTTTAAAATATTTTTCCCAATGTAATGCAAACAAATTGAGCATTGATTATTTTGTAATTAATAATACAATTCTTGAAACATTCAGGTCCAATTGCATAAGATGACAATTGCATATATTTCAGCGATGGAGCCCATGATCTGAAAAGGGATACTAGCATGGCAGTACTTAAGTCATGCCTTTTAGTACAATCTTTATTCTGTCTGAGAAACTTTTATTTTTCCCTTCTATTGTGTTTGGAGGAAAGCTATGCAAGTCTGTGTATAAAGGCTTCTAAAAGCCATACTGTGATTCAGATTGTTCCTCTTCCAGGGTTCCTAAAATGAAAAGGGCCAAGACAGATCTGTGCAGAGACTTTTAGGTCTCCTGGGTTTTCCTCAGCTTCAATTATCTCTACATGTTCTGTTATTCATTGATAACAATAAAAAAGACTTTGAAACGTAAAACCAAATGATTATGTGCTCTTTTGACCACTTTGTTGACTGATGTCTATTTAATGCTGTTGTATTTTCATTGAGTATTTCCATTGAGTCATGGATTTCAAGATAAAATTATTCTTTGTACTGATCAGGGGCCTATTTATTTTATTAATTTGCTAGATTTGTGTTCTACCTTTTCTCAGGAGTTAGTAGCAACATATAGCATTCTCGTCCCCACACAACAAGCCTGTGAGGAAAAGACCAATACTAATCTACAAGATCAGGGAGCTCATCTAGAGATCTAATTATACAGAGGATTAATCCCATTGAATGTTAGATGCCTAATTGACCCAAGAATCATACATCTAGCTTTCAGACACTTAAAAAAAACATAAAAGGGTATCTCCACAGAATTGGAAGGATTGACAGGTCTACAAAGTTGTACATTAGCAAACATGGGGTAAGAAGTCGGAATGCTGAACAGAATTATAATTGAGCTGCTGTTTTGAGCCCCCAAAAAACATCTGGTAGAGATTAGAGATTATAACATTAATTCTTCCTTGTGATTGACTGGTTATTTTTGATATCTCACTGATAATGTTTTGTTCCACCATTGAGAGATAGAATTTCAGGGTATCACCTGGATTTTCTCTGTCTGACCTGAACAAATATCTTTTCAAGAATGCATTGAAATCCACAGCCTTCACTCTCTTATAGTCAAGATTCATAATACTTGGAAGGGTGAAAATTAGAATCATTACTAGGTTTTCCTTAAAAGAATAAATCCTTTGAAAAACGCTGGTCAAAAAGGCTGGACAAAGTCACTGGCTGTTTGCTCTTATAAAGTTTGCCCCTTTTTTAGAATTATTGGTTTGCTTGAAAGCAAGGAGGGCATCTCCCTTTTAATCATTTTTACCTCCAAAATGTTTAAAGCAATTCTCGCTCAATTGATTTATTTAGAATGTTTGCATAAAATATGAGAAGAGATTATTTGTTGTATTTTAAGAGAAGTGATAATTTACTTAAATCGTTTATACTTGTGATGAAGAATTCATTTCTTTATATTCTTTTTATTCTTTGCTATATTCTTATTTTTTCTTCCTTTCCAATTTCCTTTCTATTGTTTTCTTTTCTGCACTTTCTTTTCTCTTTTTCATTTTTTTAGTTTGTATTTCATTTTTTTATTGTAACTTTTAATAACAATCTTTTTTATAAAGAACAATGTGGAGCTTTATTGCATTGCACTCAGTTTATTTGAGTTATATCCTTTTATATCTATAGGCAAGCAGTTTTCCCTAGGAATCCTTACATATGCCTGAAGCAACTTGTACAGGAATTTTCAGATTTCATAATAGGTGTGGTGCTGAAGTGCTCTGCTTTTATGTCTCTGAGGGCAGATTCACATAGCTAATGTTCAACTAATTTCTTTTCTTGATAGTACTCAGTTGAAATCATTTACCTCCAGCAGTGACACCTGTGCAAATATTCTAAATAAAGTTAAAACTGATTTGGCTAATTTAGGTAATATTTCAAATTTGAAAGAAAAACATAATACTTGAAATCAAGCATTTGGAATATACTATATCAGATTGAAATGTAGGTATATATCTGAAATCATATTTAAACAATCTGTCATTTAGTACATGTATCTTCAGAAATTAATCTCTATGACGATTACAAAAGAATATAGATTGTTTGAAGAAAGGTGTGCCATCTTAAATTTTCAGTATAGATAGCAATCAGCCTAAGTTATCAGCATTCTAATCATACTTTGTCAGAGCCGACATGCCCTACAGACAGAAACTATTTATTTAATTTACTAATCTAATAGTATTTATCTAATTTTGCAATTCCCATTGCAAGAGGAAAAGAAGTTAATGTCTGATTGGCTAGTGGGGGGAGCTACATTTTATACATTTGGAACATTTAAAGATAGGAATAAATTACTGTTTTTACCCCTCTGGGAATTCCCATGATTAATTTGTTCTACAGAATAGATTACTGAATGGCAAAAAGGATATGAGAAGAAGAAAAAGCCTTACTCACATAGTCTCCTATAGTAGAGGCTTGGGGATATCCTGTTAAATGACATGGGCTTTGTGATGACAGAATCTAAATCATCATTCATCATCTTCTTAGTGTTATTCCCGCAGGTGGAGGGTCCACTTTTTGGATCGTCAAATGCCACCTCGCGTGATCAAATGCACCATGTGGGTCATGTTTGCATTAAGAGGGAGAAGGCTGTAGCTCCATTGCGACAAAAAAACGACTGGCCGTCTTGTTGCCTGAGCCTGATGTTGGTTTGATTATGTTCAGCTCAGCACCACCTAATGGATGCGCAGTATCCAGCAGAATCACTAGGATGGATAAACCTCACCACCTCTGGTAGAATCTAACTGAAGTAGTATGAATATAATTAATAGAAACAACGTAATCATAAATTTTTCTGCCTGCTTACAAATATTTCAATATTGTCACTTAATAATGTTGAAAATATATTTTAACCTACCCAATAACATATTTGGACTTTGAGGGTCAGGACAGTAATGTAATTTTATTTATATAGCATTTTATTGTTTTCAGATAAATATAGTTTTTGTGTAACCCATCTTTATTATTTTTCATAAGTAACTCAGGGTGATGAATGTATCTAATATTTCTTCCTGCTCCTATTTTCCACACAAGAACAGCC